CGCGCCTGGTGTGCAGCACGTCTGAGAGAGTCACGAGCAGGAGTCTCCGTTCCACGAGACCTCGCACACCGCACAGCACTCGGAGGCTCTCAGTATTTCCACACGCAGGGAATGAACTGAGCTCCACAGTCATGTCCATTTTAGAGATGGGGAAAGAGAGGTTAAGAGAAAGCAAACTTGGAAAAGGTGTTATAACAAATAAAGCAGTAAGGACCGAACTAAAACCCACATTTTTAGAATAAAATCCTACTCCCCCTTCCACTATACTAATTCTACTATAAAGATAATTTCCCCTAAAAAAGTCTTAAAAGGAAAAAGTAATGAAGTTCGTATATAATGTCAGATTGTCTTTTCTTCTGTGTTTAAATGGCTCATACATTCTAAAAATAGGTGTCTATAAAAATCTAAGTAACATAACTGCCTTAAGTGATTAAATTAAAAAGGATTACATGACAGAATAGCATGGTTTAAAAAGAAAAGCTTTCTCTCTTTTTTTGCTTTTAAATTTTAAAATGTTAAAAATGTAAAGATAAGTTTTTCGAGGAGAAGTATTTAACAAAGAGCTTCCAAAGCTGCGTTAAGCAAAAACTTAATTAGGCATCAAATTAATCAGACGGGGAAGCCTGGACAGGATTTACTCAGAAGTGTGCAGAACACTTCATTAGTCGTAACGCTGACAAACAGGACATGATTCGTTCTTTCACACTACAGCCTTTCAGTGGGAAGTGGAAAATATTAAATACGTTATGAAAAATAACTCCGATGGCTTTCTGTCACCAGAAACTCACGTTTACAAGACGCTTGCTGGCTACACAAGTCCCCCGTCACCCAGTTTCCAAGTGGCGGGACTCGTGCAACAGCTGCTTCAGCCCCCGAGGACCCCGGCCGTCCCCTGGATGGCACTTACTGTGTGAGGAATTCTCGGGGAAACCTGAACGCACAATTCTGTCACCAGACAGACTCCAAGACACCCAGTCGGCCAACCCTGAGAATGAGGAATTACGAAATGCTGGCCCGAGTACAGGTTTCAGAGTAGGAGGTTTACTGGCAACAATTCTGAAAAGTGTTGAAGAGAATGAGCTTACTGCCCTGGTTTTTCCTCAAACGAGCAGGAAAGAAAATTGCCTCCTCCAGGCTGGCCACCCATTAGAATGAGATGAAAGTGGGACCCTAACGAGCAGCGTCCTCCTCTGGGAGGCTGGCCGATGGCCAGGAAGTAGAGCAGGGCCAGCGGGGATGCCCTGCCAGGACGCCCTGCGGGGCCCCTCTGCCCAGTCCAGGGCCAGCAGCTCCCCAAAGATGCCATTTTACCAGTGTGACCTGTGCTGGCAGCCTGGGCTTGGAGCTGCCACTGCTCTCTGATGGCCCGTCACATGCTGATTGGGGACATGCATACGCTCTGCTCTGTGTGCCTTTCATTTCTACTTCTCTGCCAGGACTGATGGGGGCAGAGATGCCTGCAGAAAGGGCCCCCCGCCCCCCGGGGGACGCTACCTTGTGAGCCAGCTGCCTGTTCGCCTACCTCTGGGGCTTCTGGGGTCGCCTGAGCTCTCAGCTCCACCATGTCAGCCGTGCACAGCGACAGCCTCATCCTGTCTTGCTGCCAGTCAAGTCCCGGGCAACCTGCAGCGCCCACGGTGGCCAGCGGGCAGTGTTGGCAGCCCTTGCACTCTGGGAGGCCCTGCTTCCCCCGCTGCGGCGGGGGGGGGGGGGGGTGGGGGGAGGGTGGCGGCGCCCATGGAGGGACTGGAAAGCAGCTTTGATTATCTAATTGCAGCTGACACTAAACCGATCTTCCCTCCTCCTCCAATTCTCTCCATTGTCACCACGTTTCTACCCAGGCCCTGGGTATGGGGAGCGTCAGAGCCAGTTCTCTTCCGCTTTTTTGAAAGTCAGCCAAAAGAATAACGGTGCACTGCCGTGGGCCGCATGAAAATAAACCGCTGCGCTCTCTTACTGCCTTTGTTTCCGCTCCCTCTCCATTCTCGCTCTCCTGCCCCCCCAAACAGTTGGCATTCCGACACTGGCTCTAATATTCCAAATGAGCACCATATGCAAATTGGCAAGTGTCCAACTCCTTAATTACCTTCCTGCCTCCATCGAAAAGATATCTAAGCAGCAAACACAGCCACAGTCACCAAAGCCTGTGCCTGTTTATACACGTACAAAGCAGCCACCAAAACAATACATTGTTCCGCCTTTAGCACAATGAAAGAGAGGCTTTTAAAAACTGATAAAAGCTCCCAAGTGTTTCAAGCCAGAGTTATGCTTCAGACTTGCAGAAACACGGTCTGAATGGAAAACAATGTGATAAAATGACATTTTTCTGGAACCTGAGTCACTACACTTACATACTTACACTTTTCTTACTGGTTAAATTTTTTTTTGTTAATTCAATGCTGAGTTTAAAAATGCAGCTCCCTGAGCTGTTTCAGAGGTCCGAGCTCTACGTCAGGGCAGACAGTAGCTATCTGAAGGGAGGACCGAGACCAGGGCCGGAGGAGCCCTCCCCACCCCCGCGAGGCGCCCAGGCGTCTGGAGCCTGTCAGCGGTGGAGGGAGGACGCAGGTCCTCCTACTGGGCTCACCTGGCCCCAGCTCAGTCCCCTTGCCTACTGGTTCCACCTCTGCTATCTCCCTCGGATGGCAGCCCTCATGGTAACCATGGGAACAGGTACGTCCAGAGCAGCCGGGGTGACAGCAGCCTAGAAGTGCCATGTGGTGACTGGAGAGGACCTGACCTGAGGGAGCCCTTTGAAGGGCCTCGGGAGGAGGAGGGCCGGAGAGTGAGCAGTGGCTCCCACTGGCAGGGGAAGGGAAGCCGGGCCATGAGCTTCAGCAGCAGGCGCACCGCTGGCGCCCTGCCCCACCCGCCCTGTACTCGGAGTCCTCCTGCCCCACTGCACTCGTGCTGTGGAGGAGGCTCCGCACCTTCCTCAGAGGGCGCCGCAGTCAGCAAACACAGCGCACAAGTGGGAAGTGCCTGCTGCAGAGCGAGGGGCAGTGAGGGAAGAAATGCTCCAGGCTTCCTGGGGGCGAGGGAGACAACGGGGGGGCGAGGGAGACAACGGCGTGCCGAGAGGGGCATGGTGGCCAGGTGTGTGCACGTACTGGACGCGACGACACCAGGTGGGCACACCTGTGAGGCAGGCAGGACGCACGAAAGCAGGCTGTGGGGAAATACGCTGGCCAGACGAGGCTGTGTGGGACCTTTGAGGACATCAGGACAGCCAGGTGGAGGGACCGTGCACCAGGCACCAGAAAACTGCACAGGTGGCTGCGGGGACCTTTGAATTAATGTGAGGTGACAAATTACAAAGATTCGTCTGGCTAAGACAGCAGAGACTGCCGGGAGATAGAACTGGTGCAAAAGGAAGAGTTTAGTTTGGGAGCCAAACGTTAATCTCTTCTTATCTTGTTAATATTGTGTAGATTAATGTTATTTTCTGAAATATTTTTATATATAAAATGACGAGGTAGTCTTTCATATATATTTTAAAGTAAAATGAACTAGGGATTAGTTTCTAGAAAACATTACAGTTATAGAGACAAATGTTTTAGTTAAAAATATTTTCATACAAAGTTTTAGTGAATCAATTTCTTGTCAACTCCCTAAACGTTTGCGAAGACAGACACCAGCAAGATCTTCACCGACAGCATTTGATGGGAATATTGACGCAATACTGGCAACTAACCCCATCACAGTGAGATGAAAGCCCTGGGAAAACCAGGCCACCACATTCCTTTTCCAGTTTTTAAAAAATATGCATCACAAACGAACACACCAAGCTATTTAGGCACGAGTGCACAATCTCTGTGGACGTTAAGACTTCACTGAGGACATTTCAGCTCAGAAAGTAACAGCACGTTTGACTGTAAACTGCTTGCAGCAAAGCAGGTGGGACCATATTCTCGGCCAATGACTATGTCCCGCCACTGCTTTTACCTGACAACCATTGACCTGCGTCCACTATCCCAGGAACGCAGCAGGTGACAGTCATGCCTATTGGCAGAAACGTTCCGAACACACCAGTTTGGAGAAACCCCGCTACAGACACTTTACACCTGTAGAAATTATTCCCCACGTTGAAAGGCAGCTCACCAGGGAAAAAACGTTAACATGATTTGTGACAAGTTTCTCTCAAGTTGCGACACGCTCTAACACAAGTAGCCCTCCTTCTCTCATCACAGACCTGGACCCCACCACCTCCAGCAAACAGGGTCCCCGAGCCAGGACCAGGGCCAGCTGTTAAAACAGGCAGACTGCAGGAAAGAGGAACTCGGCGGTGGGCCGCATGTACTTCGCTCTCTTCCAAAAATGTCTCTAAAATTCCAGTAAAAAAATGTTTAAGTCTAAAGCCATAAAGTCATGCCGCCAGGAATGGGGGCTGGGAGACAGGACGTCACATTCTAGAAGCTGGAAAGCAGACGAGCAAGGGGTGATTTTGCTCCGGGAGCCAAGGGAAAGCCACGCGCCCCTGGAGCAGGCGGCCGGAGCCCAGACACTGCGGGTCTGAGGGCGAGGGGCTGCCAGGCAGGTTCGGCCCGATGTGTGTGATGTTACAGCTAGCAACGCCCACGTCCCATAAAACACGGTCACCTCCCCGCAGCACACATGTGTGAACATTTCAGAGTTTTCAATGCAGCGTCCAAAGCACCTGTCTCGACACGCTCCTGTGGACTCACGCCCAGACCTTCCGTTTCTGGGGAGCAACAACGGAGCTGCCGCCAACCACGAGTACGTGAGACGTAACACAGAGAAGTGGGGAGAAGAGAATTAAACTTTAAAATCCAACGGAAATGAACCTGCCTGTTGTCTTTCTGCCTACCTACCTATTATCAGTCACATAATCTGTCTCTCTCTCCAACACCCATCTACCTGCAGCTCTACTGCACGTATACACTGAAATGGACACAAACGTGCCCACTTTGGTTCCCGGGCAGCCAAGCTGGAAACAGCGCCCCAGTCCCCAGGTCAAAGACTCATTCTGCGGGCCTTACCTGGCTGGAGCTTGCCGGGCTGCTGCTGCGTGCCGGCTCCGGGCGGGGGAGGAGGGCTTACCCCCGCAGGCCCAGCACCCTGGGTGGGGCTTCCACTGGTCAGCGCCCCCGTGGGCAATGGCTGACCTCTCTTCAATAGCTGCTTCTGTTCTTGCTGGCGGAAGCGTGGAGGCACCTCTCGAGGCAGGTAACGGGACGCAGCTGGCTGCTGGCTGCCGGCGGGAGCGCGTTTGCCATTGCCGCCGCTGGGGAGAGTGCTGGTGGGAGTGCTGGTCCCGGGGCCGGCGGGCTGGGGCTGGCCGGAGCAGGTCTTAGTAGGTTCTGGCACTACAAGGACAAAAGGAAAAGAAGCCAAAACTTCAGTGACAGCCCCATAAAACCCAACCCAGACCAAAAGAAATGAAACAGAAACCTGAGAGAGAGATGGCAATGCAGTGTTTGGGAACAGAACTGGACAGAATCTAGACAGAAATCTAGATTCGAGGTTTGACACCTAGTTTTCCTACAAACTAACCACAGTCTCGACTGTAGCCTTGAACCAGAGTGCTGGTCTGCGAAATGGGTGTCAAGTCAGAGAGCAGCCCTCACCCTCCAGTTTGCATGAGCCTCAGCTCGAGGGCCGACGAAAGCCCAGCTCCTGGGCTCCACCGTGGGAAAGCAGTCGGTGGGCAGTGGCGGGGGGACTGTGAAGCTGTGGGGTCTTTAGGTCGGATGCCCACAGTTAAAACATAACTGTGCTGTTTTAATTCCAATGACGGTCTGAAGAACACGCACCGGGGCACGTATCCAGATTACTCAGACAGCCTGATGTTTGCAGGGTGGGGTCTGCAACACCCCCACCCTGTGTCACGGACTCACTGGGAAAGAGCACAGGGCTGATCTGCAAATGATGCCTCTGCGTTAAGTGAAAGCCAAAGTGCCACCAGAGGATGACACACAGCAACGGCTTCCCAGTAACTGAACCAAGAAAAGGAGAGCCCCGAGTGGGGCCCGCCAGCGCTGCGGGTGGTCTGAGCAGCAGCTCCACGGAGGGGGGCGTGTAGACGTGTCAAGTGGAGAAGAATCTGAGCCTCAACAGCTGTTCCTACCTTGCACTTGCAACATTAATATCCAACAAACACCGCATTTACCTTGGTATTTGAAGAGAATTTCTGTCTACTCAACGTGCAAACACCTCTGGTTCCCTAGCTGAGCAAAGCTCCGTATGAAACAAGTTTGTACCTAGTTCTGTGTGTCTCACACGGACAGGTAACACCCCAAAACCGTTTCCAGGCAACACGGGGGACAGCGAGACGTTACTGTTCACCCTTCTCATCTCCCAGAGTGGGAGCTGCCATCCACCGTGACGGCCCCTCACTGTCCACAGTCAGCGTCTGCAAGGCTTCTGCCCACTCTTTGTCACCGTGCCCAGCGACCCTCCGTCCCAGTGAAGCTGCTGTCCCCACCCTCCACCTAGGCCCGGATCGCTCAGGCTCCCCCAGGAAATCACAGCCACACAGTGTGGTGTCACCGCGAACCCCGGTCCTGGGCCCCAGCACACCCTCCATTTCTTGACCCACACTGCAGCTTCCCGGGTCTGCCCAGTTCCACTGCTGTCAACAGCTCATCCAAAGTCTTGTGTGGGTGTCGTTTGGTTTTAAAAATAAAAGTAACTACAGTTGATGAATTAGTCCCAGGCTCTTCTCCACCTGTGAGGACAGCCTGCCCCTTACAATGCTGCCACTGCAGGGAACAAAGGCAACGTGTCAAGCTGAGGGCGTCTGTGGTTGCTCCCAGAGACCCAGTGCGAGCTGTGAGCCAAAAGGAATCCACTCTGTCAGACCTGCGGACAGAAGACGGATGAACTGCCACGCCCTTCCTGTGTCCTTCAGAGCCTCCTCCTGGCTCCGAGGGCCCCACGGCCACACACGGGCCTCACGTTGTTGGACTCGTTCCTCTGCCCTGGACTCTCTGGAAAGGTCATCCAGTTTTAGTGGCGCCCAATGCTGTCCCATGCTGCCCTCTGCTTCAGTCCAGCCTCGACCTTCAGTTGCCCGCTGGGCGGTGCTGCTTGGAAGCTGCCGCCCTTCAGACGGAACGTGCCGAAGGCCCAAGGAGGATGTGCTGGCTCTGAGCCCAGGACGGCGTGGACTGGTGCCGAGGTGAGCATCTACGTGAGCCAACAGCCCACTGGGGAAGCACGTGGCCCTGACCGCAGCCGGTCACGGAGGGGTCGGGGCCACGGACCACACATGGCCGCAGAGCACAGACCGAGATGGCTGCATGTGCCCATACACTTCAGTCCAGTTAGTGCAAAACCCAGGACTGTATCCTGCTGGCAATTTTCACATTGATTTCATGTTGAAATGATAACATTTTAAATAGACTGAGTTAAAAATATATTACTAATCATAGTCTCACCCGTGTTTTGTTTTAAGATGTTGCTGTTAGAATATTTAAAATGACTGATGTGGCTTGAATTACACCCTGCTGCACAGCACCGTCTGCCCTCTGGAGAAGCAGGCTGAGCTGACAGGCCTGAGCTGATCCCTCGGGACTGCGTCACGGGCAGACAGCCACCCGCTTTCACAGGGGACCATCGGTCGTGGTAGGTCACCAGCTTGCCGGGTGATTTTCCCTTATGGCCCCGGGCTGATGCCAGTCCCAGCACCTTAACTCACATGCAGAAGCGCCACTAAGTATTTGCTCAACTAAACAAGAGACTGAGGGCCCGGAGCCTAGTGCTCTGATCACTACTCTCACGCTCCTCACGGAGACACCTGCAGCTGTGGGAGCCGCCCCAGACCCGGGGGAGGTGAGGGAGCTGAGGGAGCCAGGAATCCGGACCCGTGGAGCTGTGCCCTGGGCCTCTTTTCTGAGCTACAGATCCACCTTTTCTGGTTGAAGCCAGTAGTTTTCAGATCTTTGAAACTAGGAGCCAGTTAATATAATATCAAACTGGTAAGTAGGAGAATCTCAAATTTTGGATCTATTCTTATCAACAGATCAAATGCGCCATTTCTGGCTAGCCATACACTGTCTCCGGATCCACATTTCTCAGTCTGCTGCGGCCCACAGTCACGATGCAGGGCGTGGAAACCATCCTGACACTCCACTCGGCTCTGCTCAGTTGCTCCAGCCCACACCTGCAGGACGGAGGGCTGGCCACGGCACTGCACACCCCTGCGTCACCCAGCACACGCAGAAGGCAGGGGCAGCTTGGGCTTGAGTTTCTTCATGGGTTGTCAATAAGTCATTTGTTTTATTTAGAAAACATTACAATAGCACCCAGCTAATAACGACATAGCTAATCAAAGTGCTAGTAAGCTGGAAATTATGGTTAGTCTCCTTTGCCTAATAACCTTTCCCTCTTTTAAGTGAGGGCGACATCTGCTGGTGAAAAGGTGGTGTGTCAAATCATTATATAGGAATGGAAATCTTAAAATACTTTTCTTTCCAAGAAACAATTTTCTGCTTTTAGCTGAAGTGTTCCCAGGGCATTGGCCATGACAGGGTCCAGACAGCTCACAAACCCGACCACTGTTCTTCCAGAAGGGCCAGCAAACGGCAGGGAGCTTGGGCGGTCCCTCCAAGGCCTTGGAGGACTCAAAGGAGTGCCCTCTGAACTCACAACACACCTTGTTGTTGAACCAAGAGAGGAGCTTCTTTTGCTGCTTCAACCTCCTTGATCCCAGGACCCCGGTTCTTGCCCCGCTCTCTCTCTCCTGCCCCTGTAGCCATTCTACACGGCCACCCAGAACGCCAAGGCCCCGGCCTCCCTTCTCTGTGCCACCCACACTTTCGTGCTGCCTGCACCCAGCCCCCCCCCCCCATCTGCTGTGCAGACTGTGGGTTGCACAGGCTCAGAAAGTGACACGGTCTGCTCCCCGCTTGTGCTGCTGAGCCCCAGTGCGGCCCTTCCAATGGAAGGTGGCCTGCCAGAGTCCCTTTCCTGTGACCGTGCCACGTCCCCTGCACCCCAGACAGCTCCCCCTTGGCCTGTGGCTCCCAGGTCCCTGCGGTATAGAAGCTGCTCCTTCTCTTAGCACACTCCCTCCCGGCCCTTTCATGGCCCAGCCGCTCCTGGGGCACTGGGGATGCAGCAGTGAACAGAAAAGGCAGATCCCACCCTGTGGGGCTCACACCTCGGCGGGGGAGGACAAACGACCACCATGACGCATACAGCCAGTCACCGGCAGAGGCTGACTGCGATGGAGACCCAGGAACGCTGCAGGGCCAGGGCAAGTCCCCGTTTTCTCACCCTGCCATTCTGTTCACAAAGTGACCAGCGGCACCCCCGGTCCTCTCATCTGTGTACTTAGGAGACGGCCAGTGTGTGCCGATGTGCCAGGAGATGGGCGTGCGGAGGGAAGTACGTAGACGGGGCTCCCGTCCCTGGAGGGGACAGTCTGGTGGAAGACGACCCATGCGGCCCTTCTGCAAGTACAGTTACAAGTTGTGGTGAGCACGGTTAACAGCAACAGTTAGGGGAGGGGCTCAGAGAAGGCCCCTCTGAGGAAGTGACACCTAGGCTGAGCCCAAGAACTGGGCTAGGCGACGAGCAGACCCGCCTGTCACTTCCACAGAGAGGACCGTGCACGGGAAGGGGACCCTGCCTTCCCCAGGACTGACGCAGGCCAGTGGGAGAGGGGGAGTGGCTGGACATGAGGTGGAGAGCAGGCATGGGCCCTGTAAGTGCTCTGGACGCCATCACTCGGCAGCAGCAGGGACAGTGGCCAGGTGGCCTGATGGGAGGACTCCTCCAGGGTGTTCCCGTCCTGGATGCAGCACACGGGGAAGCCGGAACCTCTGGTCTGGGGAGCAGTTCTCCAGGGGCAGGTCCCTCTGGTGACAAGCTCACAGAGTGCCCATCAACGTGACCATCGCTGGCTGCTCACTCAGTAGGCGGGGGACTGGACTGAGACACTGCCTGGGTGGCTCCACAGCCAGGAGGCCCTGACCAACATCACCCTTCCAGGGGAGGTGGCTGCGCCCTCCTTGTTCTCTAGAAGTGGCTGGTGTAGGGAGCCCCTTCGTGTGTCATGGAAGTGGAGCTCAGCCCCACCTGGAAAGGCCAGTGGGGAGCGAGTCAGCACACAGGACCACGCCCACGGAGAGGTTCTCCTGTAGGGAATGGAATCAGGCCTGCACTGTACGTAGGCTGCTATAAGGCTTGCTTTTGCTAACACCCCCTCACCCTGAATTGAGGCAGAAAATGCTCACTGCAACTTCCTAAAGTCTGCTAAAGCTCCCCAGTATGCAGTGTGACCAGTTCAACCACTTTTCCCCTTTGTCTGCAACATCCTTCTCTTTGAAGTAACATTCTTTAGCAACATTCTTTCCTTTGT